CAAATGTAATGGTAAGTGGAACGTCAAAAATGTTTTTATTTTGCCACGTGGCCTAAATTCCAGCTCGGATAATGACGAGGCATTTGTTGGCTAGGAATAAAATGTTAACCAATAATAAACCCACTTGGTATAGGCTACCGTCAACGGTCGCCACCGCCACCGCCGCCGCCTCGTTCCTTCTTCCTTTCCTTTTCTTTTAAAAAAATTTAACTTTATTCCCTTTTTTAAAAAACTTCTAATTTTATTGGGACCTGAATGAGTATTGTAAATATATTTCATTCTTTGACGAGATTAAAAGATCGTATAATTTAGATATATTATAGGGGACTAGACATGAACATGAAGAACACGTGGGTTTGATACCACAAAGAAGGTTGGAAGGCTTTTTGTGGCAAAATCGGTACCATTTATAAACTTTGTAGTACAATAATTACAACTGCTTTTCCTCATTTTTGTGAATTTTATCTTTTCATACAATGAGTATAAAGGTTCCATCTAAAAAATTATATGGAAATGGACTAAATTGAGCTATTTTCTTCAAAACTGATCATATATTTAGTCAGAAGGACGATAAGAGGTTTCTTTCCTAGTTCACTGATACAACTACGCGTTAAAAGACGATCACGGGCTATTTGGAGCAAGGAGCTGAACTGGGTCTCGAGCCCAACGTGTTATTAAGCTAAATATTTCAAGAATATATTAAACATAAAATTAAAAACTTAAGGACATATTTAACATTTTTTAAATCAGACATAAAATTAAAAATCCAAGAATCTATTAAATATTTTTAAATATTTATCGATATTTTTTCATTGTTCTAAGCATTTTCGTATTTTAACTTTTTTTTTTTAGGACGTTTTTTTAGGAATCTCACTGTTTAGATTAACGTCATCGTCATGATTATTATTATTTCGTCTTTTGTTCAAAATTCTTTGCTGCAATCGTCGATGAACGAAAAAAGTGTTAAACGTGAAAGTCGTTGATTTGCTCTCCAAGTTACCTTTCACATTTTACCCCCATTTTAACTTTTAAGATTAATATGGGGTAACTTTTTTATTTTAATGGCATCATTATTATCGTGATGGCATTTAATTAAATTAAAGTAATAATTGATTAGTAGAGTACCAAATTTTAGTATTTAACAATTTATTTATTTTACAGTGGTGAAAAATATTATTGAGATTTAATGTTTTTTATTTATTATTTTTTATAAATAGATTAATAAACTAATTATTTATATATTTAAAAAACTAATTTAGGGAATTTTGGAATGGGCTCAAAGCCCAAATAGAGTTGAAGGGTTGAGATTTGGGCCTTTTGGCAGAGAGCTAAACCTTCTAAAACCTCCGGGTCAGAGAAGACCTGAAAATCGCTACAGAGCAGACAGAGGTAACAGCCATGGAGTCTCTTCCTACAGTTCACCACCGTCATCATCCTTCTCAACAACTTCTTTCCTTCAGCCACCGCCTTCCGTCGTTCCCTAAACCCATATCTTCTCTCTCCTTCGCGCATACGCCGCCGACTCGTCTCCGTTCGTCTTTCAGGTCGTTGTCTGTTAAAGCCTCATCCTCTCAATCGACCTCCGACGAACCCTCTCGAAACGCCAAATCTTCCATTTCCGAGACCAGGAATGGCGGCCTGTTGTCGGGGTTTCTTAAAACCGCTTGCATTTCTGTTGCCGCTGCTGCAGCATTCTACTTCCTTCGCTTTGACCATCGACGCGTTGTTGCTGTTGCTGTCCCGGTGGCGTCGGAGACGACGGAGTCTACTGATGAATCGACGGCGCATGAGGAAAATGAGAGCGTTGTAGAAGAGAAACCAACAGATGATTCGAGTGGTGCTGAAACCCTTCGATCCCTCGTTGAGGAGAATGTAAAATTAGGTAAACTTCCCGAAGCAATTGAAACCCTAAGCCGTTTAATCGAACTTGAGCCCAATGACCGTGAGTTGCCTTTGCTAAGAGCCAATGTCCGTAGCTATGCGGGGCAGCTCGAATTGGCTAGAAATGAATTTGAAGAGATTTTAAGGGAAGACCCATTTCGTGTTGAGGCCTACCATGGCCTTGTGATGGTATCAGAGCAATTGAACGATAATTCATTGAAGGACGTTACTAAAAGGATCGAAGAGGCAGTGGAGAAATGCAAGAAGCAAAATGACAAGTCAGTTATCCGGGATTTCAAGCTCTTGCTTGCGCAAATTAAGGTAATGAAGGGGAGCTATTTTGATGCATTGAAAGCTTATGATGAACTTGTGAGGGAGGAGCCAAAGGATTTTAGGCCATATCTCTGTCAGGGGATCATATATACTCTTTTAAGGAAGAATAAGGAGGCTGAGAAACAGTTTGAGAAATTTAGGAGACTTGTTCCAAAGAACCATCCTTACAAAGAGTACTTTGATGAAAACATGTTTGCAACAAAGCTTTTTGCTCAGAAATTAGAGAAGGAGAAAGCTGGTTTGAAGAGCTGAGATGGGTGCTTATCTGCTGCTTCTGTATGAGTAATCTCTTCACTCTTCACTTCTGTTCTCAATGGATTCATTTTTGTTAGTTTTTAGTGGTTTGGTATTCATTAGGGTGGTGTTAGATATCTAAATTTTGTCTGAAGTTGTATGATTGTCTGAATCTTTCAATCGAGTCTCGTGTGGAGAATACTGATTATACTTATGTTTGGCATTCCTGAAAATCTACGAGAAACTGAGTTTCTTTCACTTATTCAGTCAAGTATTTTTCTACAAACATGATGATTATTGAAGCAATATTTGACAATAAGAATAGAATCATGTTTGGTTCGGGGGTGTGGATGTTTGTAACCGCCCAAGTCCACCGCTAGCAAATATTGTCCTCCTGGCTTTCCCTTTTGGGCTTCCCCTCAAGGTTTTTAAAACGTGTCTGTTAGGAGAATTTGAACTAGTTTAGTAGTTCAAGGAAAAAGTTGTAATTCAAGATGTCTTAAATTTTGATGGCATCCACCCATTTCCCTTCCCCTTGTGGACGGTCCTTGAGATGTTTGGGGGTTCTCCAAGCTCTTGAATTCAAATTTCTTCGGTGGAAAGGTTTATCTGAAAATCCTTGATGAGATCTTGTGGGTTCAAATTAAGGGGATTGGTATGTCAATGGGGTTAAAAGGACAAGTTGTAGTATAATATGTCTTTTAGGGTATGGATTCTCAAATTTTCATGGCATTTGCATCCAGGATGGCCCTTGGGATGTTTGGGGGAGTTCTCCAAGCCCTTGGGTTCTTCGAGGTCTCTTCATATTCGAATTAGGACACATGAAGCCAGTTCATCGAGTTCGGGACAGTGCTCGACACCACAAAGACCATTCTTTTATGGCATCCTTCCTAAAATATGTAAACTTTCAGATAGATTCCTATATCCTTTTTCTAATCAATCATGACTTGGTACAATGGTTATGTCATAGAGAGCTGTAAATTCGAATATCTGAAGATTATGAACTCAAATTGTGGTGACATTCCACTTTAGACAGTAAATATCTTGCGATTCTTGGTTCTTTGAATTGAGGTTTTGAGTGTGCTTGGTCTAGATTATGCATATGCTACCCCCAACTCTATAATTACAGGCCATTGAAGACAATATGATGATCAAGTACCATGCCGGAAGGGCTGGAGTGACCTATAAATTTCTCAAAGGGGCCTACGTATTTCTTCCAGGATCATAAAAGAATCTGTTCCTTAATCTGTGTGAGATCCATTTGGTTGATTGATGCTTTAAAGTTCTCACGTATTTCTGCCATTGTGGTTGGTTTATACAGGTGTGCCCTCTCAGTAATCTGCTTACTTTGTCCTTTATTTTTTATTTTGATGTTTTAATACTCAGATTCCTCTCATAAGTTCATGGTTCAATACCCAAGTGAGATTAGGATCATAAAATTATAGTTCTTCCAGATTCCTCTCTTATTAGGATCGGATCATAATACCATGTTAGATGAACACGACTCTCCACAATAGTATGATATTGATGATCCAACACCTCTCCTCGAACAAAGCACGCCTCCCCTTAATCGAGGCTCGACTCTTTTTCTTCTTTTGGTGTCTTAGTCATTTTTTAACTATGCCTTCGAGGAGACTCGACTCGACTCATTTTCTTTTGAAGTTCTTTGTTCGACATTTGAGGATTTACCAATCTATTGGCACGACTAAGTTTAGGGCATGACTCTGATACCAGTTGTTAGGATCGATACCATGTTAGATGAACACGACCTTCCACAATGGTATGATATTGTCCACTTTGAGCATAAGCTCTCATAGCTTTGCTTTGGACTTCCCCAAAAGGCCTCGTACGAATGGTGAGAATATTCTTTGATTATAAACCCATGATCATTACCTAAATTAACCAATGTGGGACACTCATCATCCAACAATGAAAATGTTTACATGGTCCATCATCTTCATCAAAGCGCTTTTATCCCTATCCTACAATTATCCCTATCCTACAACTTAAAAGATGAACGTTTTTTTTTTAAATCTTTTATATATAATTATTATTCTTGAGTATGTGAGTTTGAAATTAAGGTATTATTATTCTTAGGAGATACAAAAATACATTTTATTTTGGAAGTAAATGCCCATTCGGGAGGGCAATGATATGGGGAATGGTCCAAACAAGCTTGACGGATAAGGAAGGTGGGCCCCAAGAAGTGAACTATTCCACATCTCAACGGCCTGTATCGCATCACGTGACTCCTGCTGTCATTTAATTTTAAAATCAAAAAAATTATTACAAAATTAAATATATTTTTTTAAATTAACAATAAATTTAAATTCCGATTAGTTCAATTAATTTATCAATCAACAATTTAACGTCGGGTTAATCGAATTTTTTGAACCCGATTTAGATTAAGAACAAAATTTGTATTATTTTTTTTTGAAAAATAATATATTTATCAATTATTTTTAATAGATTATATACGAAAATAGGTTGTTTTCTTTTTAATTTCTCAATTAATAAATTTCTAAACTAAGCTTTTGAACAAAACTAAGCTATCAATTAATAATATTTTCAAATGATGATCATAGCATTTCTACCAATTACATTATTAAACAATAAACTTAAAAACTTAAAATTTAAAACAAAATAACCAACAATAAAATAATGATCAGACGGCTACATTTTGTTGAGGATTCGGATCAGGTTTTGAAATCGGATCAGCAAATGGCCAAAACTGAGCATTTTTTACCTTCGATACACTTTCCAACACACCCTCGGGTGTTATATTTCCCATTATCGTCACCTTTTTTGCTGCAAAATCTATGTTGAACGAGTTCACCCCTACATTTTTAAACGAATAAGGGTTAAAAGTGACAAATTTACACGAAAACGTCCCAAAAATCTAAATTTTAGGGATCAAATTTTAATTTTTTAAAAAAAAATTAATATTTTTTAATTGCTTACCTTCCATTTTGGAAAGATGTTTCCTTAGTTTCCCTTCACAGCCTCTGCAATGCAATGATACCCTCAAAACCACAACCTGAGAATCAGAGATCACATTAATTAAAACATAAATAAAAAGATTCTTTTTTTTGTTCTTTAAACAATTAGATTCCAAAATCATTGAATTCCTTTTTTTTTTAATTACAAAAGTTGTCATTCATGATTATATATAGGGCCCGTTTTCGATAATATGATTGAGTAAATTGTGATGGCCGATGACACCCCGTGACTTGAGATGACGTTAAGATTCGAGAACCAAAATGATATTGAATGTGACATTGCATTAAGAGACTTTAGCCGTGAGTAGAGGCAAGATCAAGCAGAATGACTTGGTCTAGTGTAGAGGCAAGTCGATTGGGTCGAAGTGGATTAAACATCATATGCAGGCAACGTGTGTGATCGAAACAAACTTGGATTCCGCACAAGTGATGTTCAGTTGGCGAAAACAAACCTCGCCTAAGATCCAACGAAAGCACAAAAATCAGACAAAAAAATATATATTTGAGGTTTAAATTTTCCTTAAGACCGATCATGAACGTGTTAAGATCACTATGTCACCGCGACAATTTAAAAAAAAAAAAATACAAAAATCAATGACCTTTAAAATCCGTGTCCTAAAATTACAAAAATCATAAAAATTTATATATTTATTTAATATTTTTAAAACTAAACATAAATTGAATATATATATATATATAAAAAGATGGGGGTGAAAATTACTAACGTGATTGAACGGTGGAGATGATTTGCAGTCGTCCTCCAACAAAATCTCAGCCGTTGGTTTAGATTCGTCCCGATTTTCAGTTCCAGAATCAGGCTTGTTGTTAGTTTGGCTTGAAAGGATGGATGTGGAAAGCCGATCCGTCGACCCATCAGGAACCGACTTGTCGTTCAAAAGGTATCGCATCGAGCCAGGTGGCGTAGCCAAATCACTAGGCTTCGCACAACTCCACCTAACTCATAAAATTAAAAAATAAAAATCATGATATATTTCAATTATTCAGAATTAAATTTTCCATATTAATTATAATTTTAAAAAACAAAATAAATTAAATATAAATTCCAAAAATTAATTAAAAGGGAATCGACAGGATCGAAGACCAACCTGACAAAGTCAGTTGAAATAATAGAGGAACCCTTCTTCTTCTTCTTCTTCAGACCCTTGTGAGTTGCAGAGCCGCCGGAGCGGATCTGGTCGGCGGCGGCGGCGGCGGGGTGGAGTTGGTGGTAAGGGAGAGGATTGATGGGGGAGTATTGGGAAGAGCATGGAGGGTTAGGGAAAGTTCTGGAAGTGGTGACTGATCTTCTGCCGTCGGCGATGATGGGGTTGTGGCGGTCGATGGCTCTGCCGACGGCGGGGGTAGATGAGGGTTGCTCCGCCGTGGGAAGAGAGACGGCGGTGGAGGCTTGGGAGGCGCACAAGAGGTTGATGGTTTTCATGATGTGATGATGAGATTTTTGGATAACTCAAAACCGTGAAACCGAATATGTTTGTGGTTCAGAGAGACAAGAAATAAGCTGTTTTTTTAACGTATTAAGAGAGAGAAACCGAGATTTTACAGTTGTGGTAAAAAGGGAGAGGTAAATTTTATAACTCTAAATTAATAAAAAAAAATTATATATTTATATTCAAATTTCTTAATATTATTTAAAAAAAAAATAGTGTATAATTTAATAAAGAAGTGGAAGCAGTTTGCATCACGAGTCTGCAGACTGCAGGTTTAAACAATTAATCTTATTTTTATATTTTTAAATAAATTAATATTAATATTTGTTTTTATTTGCAAAATTTTCCGTGCCTACCTTTCCCATTCCCGATATATATATTTAAAAAAATAAGAAAGCTCTAAATATTACTTTAAATGCTTAAATAATATTAATAAATTTTAAAAAATTAATGGACTAAAATTTAAATTTCTACCAAATTTGTAATTTAACATATATATATATAATTTATTTTTTGCAATTTTGAGTAAAAAATTAAGAGAGAGAGAGGCAGGTGGGAGTAAGGTAAAGAATTTATGGTAATAAAATGTGAACATTTAAAAACGGTGGGGACAGACTCTGTTCCACAAATTTAATTTTGGACTCGGTCAGTCCTCAACGGTTATGAATATAATGAAAATAAAAATAAAATATTCCAAACAACCAATTATTATTTTTTAAATAATAATAAATGAGGTAAAAATTCATTATGGAAATTTGGTCACGACATTTTATTAGGTAACTTGTGAACGACATGTAGTTTTAAATGACAGCCCACATATTTAATGCTCCTCAAACAGCCAAACGACAGTAATTTAATATAAGACCAAAAGTCTTTCACCAGTAAGTACTATAAATAATAAAACTATAGCCGTAGTTTTAAATTTTCATAAATAGTGTATTTAATAGAACATTTAAAAAAAATAAAAGATTGGCGTCGCCCGGACTCGAACCGGAGACCTTCAGTGTGTTAGACTGACGTGATAACCAACTACACCACGACACCATGTTGGAAGAGATTGACAGCATTACTTATATATATTCTATTTTTTATTTTCCTGAATTAAATTCCTTCCATACAAAAATAAATTCTATTAAATTATTGATTTATTAACATGCTTAGATTTGTAGATTAGGACGTTCGTATGACTTAATAACTCGACTAATATAGACTACCAAACTCGAACCATGCTAGTTACAATTTGAAAATGAAAATAGATAAAAGTAGAGGGACCAAAATTACAATCGGAATAATTTGTATAATTTTCTAAGGTAGAAGAGGCAGATCAGTGGGGCTTGGGATGTTTTGGCATCCAGTACAAAGTTGGAGGATCTGTTTCAGAGCATCCGTTGGAGGTTCCACTGTCCAGGCAGTGTAATGTTGTGAGGGATGAAACGAGCTGGGTCCGGCGGTTGGCGCCGACAGCCCGCTTTGTGTGTCATTTACAAACAAGTCTCCGTCGGACCGTATGCACCCACTTGAGGGCTCTTCCTTGTCTGCTGCCTGAACATAATAACAGACATAAATCAACCATGGTTCCAGTTTAGTACCGTTTTTGGCATTTTGTTTTTGAATGTGTCCTTTTTAAGGATGAACCGATCATTGGCAGACATGCAGGACACGTGTGTCGTGAATGTGCACAATGAAAACATGAACAAAGCCTGTAATAGTTCAAGCCTATCTCTAGTAAATATTGTCTGTTTTGACTTGTTACATCTCATCGTCAGGCCCATGGTTTTAAAACGAGTCTGTTAGTGTTAGGGTGAGATTTCTACACTTTTATAAGGAATGCTTCGTTCTCCTCTTCAACTAATGTGGGATCTCAAAGAGACAATGAGAAAGATGTATGGACGGACAAACAAGTAGAGAGAGAGAGAGACGATACTGGACCTCAAATGAGGTGAATTGTAAGATCCCATATCAGTTGGAGAGGGGAACGAAACATTCTTTATAAAGATGTAGAAACCTCTCCCTATGAAATGTGTTAAACATTAAGGGGACACCCGAAAGAAAAAGCCCAAAGAGGACAACATCGGTTAGCGGTAGGCTTGGGTTGTTACAAACATCTACCACCTTCGGGGTCCAGCGTCCTCACTGGCACACCGCCCAATGTCCACCCCCTTCAGGGCTCAACGTCCTTGCTAGCACACCGCTCGGAACCTGGCTCGAATACCATTTGTAACAGCCCAAGTCCACCGCTAACAAGTATTATCCTCTTTGGGCTTTCACTTTCGGGTTTCCCCTCAAAGTTTTTAAAACACGTCTATAAGGGAGAGACTTCCATACGCTTATAAAGAATGTTTCGTTCTCCTCTCCAACCGATGTGGGATCTCACAGACGCCCTATCTATTGTTTAAGATTGCCTTCTAAGTTTCCCAATCTTATCACATATTGATTAGATTAAAGACATCATCTACGTTTCAACTCAAATCATAGAGAATGAACAAGAACAAATTTACCTTTTCAGTTAGATATCTAAATGCCACCTTTTTCTCTCCTGCTTCGTATATGTTGCACTGAGAGTATATCTGATTCAAAATGCAAGCAACAAACTCAAATCACAGTGATCTTTGGAGAAGTTCAAACTAAAATGTAAGTGAAATCAACAAGACCTGTGATTCTACACTAGCACAGACAGCATAGATCCCCCAGTTTCTGGTGTAATTATTGTATAGATGCACTTGAGCAAATCTAACACGAGGATGCCGTTGCCGAGTACCATCGAAAAAACAGTGGTGAATAGTGACACGAATGCATCGATCACCGACGTGCGATGGATCGGCTCCAATGAGCATCGTCTTGTCATGCTGTGAGAAGTGACACCTATAGATAAACACAATGTTAGATTGTTAAGGCACCAAGAAAGCTCTTACATGAAGCTTGCTATCACCTAGAAATAGTGATATCTGTGCTTCCTCTGGTGATATCAATCAACCCATCATCATAGTCTCGGAGGCTGCAACGGTCTATCCATATGTGCTTTGAATTGGGTTTGATTTGAACTCCATCAACATCATGACCTCTACCACCTTCAAACTCCAAATTGCAAATGATTACATGCTCACATTCCTTCAGCCTCAATCCCTTTCCTGTAAATTTTATCCTTTGTCCACGACCATCTACAGTTTTATAAGATGACACGCTAAGAAATGTCGACAAGTGAATTGTGCCTGAAACTTCAAAGATAATCCAAAGGGGCTCTTTCATACGACACCCGAACCTAAGCGATCCCGGACCATCATCTACAACAATGAGAAAGTACAGATGTAAAGATTTCTTAGAGAACTGCAAGGTAGAACCAAATAGAAGTATTGTATACGGTGTATATGTGTAATAACTCAAGCCCACCACTAGCAGATACCCAACGCGTTCGCTAGAGAGAGTGTAACAGCCCAAACCCACTACTAGCAGATATTGTCCTCTTTGGATTTTCCCTTCCGGGTTTCTTTTTAAAACATGTATGCTAGGGAGAGGTTTGCACACCTTTATAAAGAATGTTTCGTTTCTCTCTCCAACCAATGTGGGATCTCACAATTCACATCCTTTGGGGCCCAGCGTCCTCACTGGCTCACTGCCCGGTGTCTGACTTTGATACCATCTATAACAACCCAAACCCACTGTTAGTAAGTATTGTCGATCTTTGGATTTTCTCTTCTGGGTTTTCCCTCAAGGTTTTTAAAACGCGTATGCTAGAGCGAAGTTTCCACACCATTATAAAGAATGCTTCGTCCCCTTTGGGTTTTCTCTTCTGGGTTTCCACTCAAGGTTTTTAAAACGTGTATGCTATTCCACACCTTTATAAAACATGTTTCGTTCCTCTCTCCAACCGATGAGGGATCTCACAATTCACACCCTTTGGGGCCCAGCGTCCTCGTTGGCTCACCGCCCGGTGTCTGACTTTGATACCATCTGTAACAACCCAAACCTACCGCTAGTAGATGTTGTCATCTTTGGGTTTTCACTTCTGGGTTTTCCCTTAAGGTTTTTCAAACGCGTCTGTTAGAGAGAAGTTTCCACACCATTATAAAAAATGTTTCGTCCTCTCTGGGTTTTCTCTTTTGGGTTTCTACTCAAGGTTTTTCAAACGTGTCAGCTAGAGAGAGATTTCCACATCCTTATAAACAATGCTTTGTTCCCTTCTCCAACCGATGTGGGATATCACAGATAGGTTTCCATACCCTTGTAAGGAATGTTTCGTTCCCCTCTCCAATCAATGTGGGATCTCACGATCCTCCCCCTTTGGGGCTCAATGTCCTTGCTGTCACACCCCCTGGTTGATAGCTTTGATACCATTTGTAACAATTCAAGCCCACCCCTAGTAGATATTGTTCTCTTTGAACTTTCCCTTCCGAGCTTCCCCTCAAGGTTTTAAAAACACATCCTTTAGGGAGAGATTTCCATACCCTAAAAAGGAATGTTTCATTCCCCTCTCCAATCGAAGTCGGATCTCACGATATGAAATTCGGAAGCAATTGTCAAACTCGTGAATACATCCCAACAAGGCATAGGTAGAGAATGCAGAATCCAAAATCCAACTCCCTAGCCCTTATGATTGCTAAATTTCTCAAAAAGAACTTCAGTTCTTCCCCCCACTCGCCTAACAAAGCATACAAAAAAGGGAAAATAACCAAAAATAAAGCCAACCAACAGAGAACTTAGAGATCATTCATGTGCCTAATGTAAGAAAGTCTCAACAACTAATCGGATCAAACAATCAAACCAAATACATAAAAAATGGGATAAAGAAAATACGACCTGCTAAATTAGTGACACAATAAACAGAGCCATAAAGACCACCAATGGCAGAACGGCCAAAGCCCTCGGCCTGACCGGCGAGGGCTCGAAGGCTCGAATCAACGTGGGCATAAGGCAAGGATTCCATCTTGACCGTCGAGGCAGAGTTCCGAGAAATGGGTTATATTTATTGGGGAGAGAATGAGCGTTGGTGGGTCGAGAGGCATTTACGCCATGGTTGAGATGCTAGCGGTGATCATGGGCTTTGGAGCTTTTAAAGGGATCGGATCGGATAATATTTTCAAGTAGTTCCGATAATATTTATTTTATTTTTATTTTATCTATTTTCAAGTAGTGGTTCAATTTAATTTTATAATTTTTTTAATTCTATATTATAACTTTTAGAAAGAAAAAAAAAATTATAATGTTTAAACTAATCGAGCTGTAACGAGCTATGATGAGTTGACAAAGAGTTGTCAAATACTAAACCATGAAGTGCCACTTTTTGACCCATGAAATTTGGTCAATTTCTCCCCTAAATTTAGGGCATTTTGCAGTGAAGTCCTTAAATATTTATTGATTTTTACAGTCAAACCCTTGAAGAACATAAATATTATAAATTAACCCAATTTTGTGTAGTTCAATGCAATTTGAAAAGTATAATATGGAGCAATTAAAAAAATGATAATAAATTTAATTTAAATAAACTTAATAATATTATTAATAGAAAAAAAAACAAATCGAAATTGAGTTTTAAAGATGATGTGACAGTTGGAAAATAGTTTTGTTTATATTCCCGCGGGAAAATTCAACCCACAAGGAACGGACAAAGAAAAAGAAAAGAAAAGAAAAGAAAAAGAAAAGAAAAATCTGACGTGGCGAATTTGAATGTGGGCCCCACCAGTTTCATTTTTTTTTTTTTATGAGCTCGCCTTCGTCGTCTATTTCAAGAGCCGAAACCTCGCGCCCAATTTCTCTCTCTTCTCTCTCTCTACCCTCATCGGTGAAGCCTTCGTTCCCCCGATCTTCCCTCTCGTTTTGAATGTCCATGAAATCTCTTTTCCTTCTTCATAGAAATCTAAATAAAATTCTTCTAACAATGGTGATTTTGTAGGGTTGGCTTTCCTTGAATTTCACCCATGGGGTTTGGAATCAAAACAGGTATTCTTTGTTTATAATCAATTCCATTTGTTCTTACTCATTTTTTCTCTCTCTTTTTTTCTTTTTTTAAACTTTTTTGGTGCTGAAATGATTGTTATACGTCGATTCATCGACGAGATGCCTGAGAAATTCGAACGTCAAGGTACTAGAGCTATGTGGCTTTTGCGATTGTTTTGCTGTTTCTTGCATTATCGATATCAGCATTGGTTGGAAGAATGATTGAGATTGGCGTTTAATTTCGTTCTTTTTCCTTTTTCTTAATTGCTTTATGGTTTAATGGTATTGATGAATAGCAAGAAATTGCATTCATTTTGATGCTACGGTTACCGCATTGCTCATTGCGGATTTTAGGGCACAACAATATATTCATTTGTTATTATTTAGGATATATGAATGACTTTGATTGAATCTTCTTTTGGTTTTGTTTTTGGTACTAGGCGTGAGGGACCTGGAGGCAGGGCTGCGGCTTTCGTCCAGCACCAGCTGTCTGTATGAGCTGCAGCCTCCGCCTTCTCCGACGACACCGAGTTTGGTGCTGTCCAGTTCAGGGAAGACGTTGCTCGTATCGAACTCCAGTAAGTCTCTGGTTTTATCCAATTCTGGGAAGAGGTTCGATAAGAAGAAGTATGTGAAGCAGGTGACAGGCAGACACAATGACACTGAGCTGCATTTGGCGGTGCAGAGGGGTGATTTGACTGCTGTGAGACAGATTTTGGGTGAAATTGATGCTCAGATGGTTGGAACTCTGAGTGGAGCAGATTTTGATGCAGAGGTTGCAGAGATAAGGTCTGCTATTGTGAATGAGGTGAATGAGTTGGGAGAGACGCCGTTGTTTACTGCTGCCGAGAAGGGGCATTTAGATATTGTGAAGGAGCTGTTGCAGTATTCCACAGAGGAGGGCATGACTATGAAGAATAGGTCTGGTTTTGATCCTTTTCATATTGCTGCTAGTCAAGGTCATGAAGGTATCTTACTGCTCCAATATAAGCTTCTTTCTTTTGTTTCTGTCATTTTTGTTACTCCAAGTTTGTCCTTCATGACAGGTTTTGCTGCGTGTATTTATTGTTGAATTGAGTTTTCATGGCATAATCTTATTGGGAAAGTAGTAATCCACGAACTCGTACCATTCCAACAGTCCTGATCGACCAATTTTTGTTGTGGATCCACTAATCTATTGCTTCATTCTTGTGTTGAAGCTCATGTTCTGCTGCTTTTTCAATAAATGGACTGAAGGATAGTGTAGGCATTCAATCAAGAAATATGGATCCTACTTACCTTAAATCGTGCCACATTTTCAGTTGGGTGCTGCTTAGTCTATAATTGACTAATTTCAGTAGAAATAAGAACTCTTTTAAGAAACTAGGGACCCCAATAAATTTTGAGCAAGCAAGCATGATTTGGATGATTCTGTTATAGTTTTTAATAAGATAGGTTGACGTTTTTCTACCAAGATTCGGTGTCGTACCTTCATGAACATCCGCATGATGTAGTTTCAGTTAAACTCAGAAAGTATCTTTTGCAGCCATCGTCCAGGTATTGTTAAACCACGATCCACGACTGAGTAAAACAGTTGGCCAATCAAATGCAACTCCTATTATTTCTGCTGCTACAAGAGGCCATATCGGAGTAGTCAATGTGTTGCTTTCAACAGATTCTAGCTCGCTCGAGATACCGAGGTCCAACGGGAAGAATGCATTACATTTAGCTGCTCGACAAGGGCATGTTGAAATTGTGAAAGCTTTGCTTCGCAAAGATCCACAACTGGCTAGGAGGAATGACAAGAAAGGGCAAACAGCATTGCATATGGCTGTAAAAGGAACCAGCTGTGAAGTGGTGAAGCTGCTTCTTAATGCAGATCCAGCCCTTGTCATGCTTCCTGACAGGTTCGGCAATACTGCATTACATGTTGCAACCAGGAAAAGGAGGGCAGAGGTATCCATTGGTATTACAAAAAGTAATTACGTACAGTCATATGTTTTTCATATTTGACCATCCATGCTTATGAGTTGGATATTGTTTGACTTTCTTGTTTTGGTTTTTAGTTTTTCAATTGAGTTTGAGCACATGGTTGGACATAAGAAAGTGTATATATATATATATATGAATGATCATGTCAGAGACCAAGTTCAACTCAGGTCAGCAGGAACTCAATAGTAACTTAGTCATATCAGGTAGTTTGAAGTAACTTAGTCTATTTAACCAATTATCAGGCAGCTGAAGTCATGTATCGAGTTTGCCTTGTTATCCTAACCGTGCTTGACACAAGTACAAACTATTAGCAACTGCTTTTGACAGAATTTGCTTGTAACCCCAAGGCTGGCACAAGGATAACAGCCTAAGCGTACATGGATACTTGTTTATGGCCGCATGTCGAATGTCCCGGTCAAGCCTAAGCGTGCATGGATACTTGTAACCCCATGGTGGCACAAGGATAACAGCTTTACATATAGTTCAGGATAAAGAAAACTGCCTTAGGTAGAGCCTCCTAACACACAATATTTCTGTTCACCAAATTTTCCAGGGCTTAGCCTGGTCCAGAATCTGTAAACATGATTGGATGAGGGATTTCTAGAGGTCTTTTCTGCTAGGTTCTTATTTGAACTTGTATGAGCATAACTTTCTGTTTCTAAGAACACTGATGGTATGTTTTATTCACTAGCTGATTTTTTGTGAGCGTGGAAGAATCATTCTAAATTTTTTTAGCAGAACCATTTTGGATGTCGAATGATCTTTGACCAATAATATTATTGCAAACTTATTATGAGCTAGCTCTCATGAATATTTATAATCCCTTGCAGATTGTCAATGAATTAGTACTCGTTCGGGACACGAATGTGAATGCATTGACTAGAGACCTTAAAACAGCCTATGACATAGCCGAAGGACTTCCGCTATCTGAAGAAACCTCAGAGATAAAAGAATGCTTCGCACGTTGTGGGGCATTATGCGCAACTGATCTCAACAAACCACGAGATGAGCTAAGACAAACAGTGACAGAGATAAAAAAGGATGTCCATAATCAGCTTGAACAAGCTCGCAAGACGAACCGAAACATGAATGGGATTGCAAAGGAACTCCGGAAGCTCCATAGAGCTGGAATAAACAACGCAACCAACTCGATCACAGTCGTTGCTGTGCTCTTTGCAACAGTTGCATTCGCAGCAATTTTCACGGTTCCGGGTGGCGACGATATTACTGGAATGGCTGTGATGGTTGGCAGTCCATCATTCAAAGTGTTCTTCATATTCAATGCCATTGCCTTGTTCACATCCTTGGCAGTCGTTGTGGTTCAAATAACAGTCGTGAGAGGAGAGACGAAATCAGAGAGACGAGTCGTGGAAGTGATCAATAAGTTAATGTGGTTGGCATCCGTCTGCACTACAATAGCATTTATTTCTTCATCTTTTATTGTGGTTGGTCGGCGTAACAGATGGGCAGCTGTTCTTATTTCCATCATTGGTGGTGTAACAATGGCTGGCATTCTAGGTGCCATGACATACTACGTGATCAAGTCCAAACGCATCAGAAGGGTGAGAAAAAAGATGAAGATTATGAGGAGTGGAACCAATTCATGGCGTCATTCAGAGTCTGATTCAGAAGTAAACCCAATCTATGCCATTTGATATGATCCTCCCGACGTTTCGAACACGGTTATCCCGAAAAATCCCCTGCCCCATTGCAGTTCAGCAGCTAGGGGGTACTTGTGCTGTGCCAGAGGATGTGTAATAGTACTACTACTCCAGGTTCCCATTTTCAGACCATCATTCCTCTTTGATGCAGTCGTTTCTTGAACAGATGATGAAACATATCTGATGATCCTAAGGGCCTTTGGGTTAAGATTTCTTGGATGGCGTATTGAATCGTCCAAGCCAGCTCGAAATATCATCCATAATAGTTTATGCATACCTTTCTTCTAATGTAATTAATTCATAGAGTATCTGTTGTTCATGACTAAAAGAAAATGTAAAAAAGCAAAAAAGAAAAAAAAAAAAAAAATTAGTGAAGAGGATTGCTTGCTTGTAAAGTGAAATTTTGTACCTTTCTTTTGTTCTTACTTTTCATGAAGAAGCTAGTTAGTTGTCAGTGAAGGCTGAAGATTCAATTTTGACAATACTAATGTCTAAATGTCTTCAAAGCCTTTTCGTTTCTATCTTTTTTTCTAAATTTTAAATGTGAGATATTACTCTTACTATTTATGAGGTTGGCCACGCAACACATAGCGTACCCGGCTAGGGACTCGACCCCAAGATCTTGCATGTTCAATGCCACAAATCGTGCTTTTGGAGCAATGAGATAGCGATTGTGTAACACTCGTTCTAATCCAACGAACAAGTTAGTCGTGAGAAATTCAAGCTTCGCGAGCAAGCAACATCGGCATATGCTTGAGTCTTGAGTACATTTTGAGTCATTTTAGCTCTTGCGTGTGTGACATGATTTTGGTAAACGGTCATATACTTCTATATTGACACAATATAAAATGGTAAAAACCTATCTAAGGTGAAAGCATGTATAAAGGGTTTAGAATGGGCATGCGGCCATGAATAACATGTCTCGGACAAGTATGACCAGGATCTCGACATGCGGCCATAAACAACACGTCTTAGACAAAGAGACGAAAACATAGAGCCTCCGACCTCATGAAAAGGAATAGATGTGGATCTCGACATGCGGCCATAAACAACACGTCTTGGATAAAGAGACGAAAACATGAGCCTCCGACCTGATGGAAAGGAATAGATGTGGTTAGCAAAAAGCTGAATTTTTTAAAGAGCTTATAAACACATGACTCCGAAAACTTTTTACACTTTTTTCAAGGATGAATGAACCTGTAAAAATTAACCTTCAAAAAGTGTGTGGGACAGCTTCTTGGGGCTCATCTCTGTGGATGGAATAGGCTTGGGAAACGAGTAAACACACGTGAATGCTTTTGTTCTACTGAGAAAGTCGGAATACTTGTGACGGTAACCACTCAAACTTTCTGCTAGTAGATATTGTCTATTTTGGCTCGTTATGTATTGCCGTCAGCCTCACGATTTTAAAACGTGTCTATTAGCAAGAGGTCTCCATCGATGTAGGATCTCACAATCAACCCCCTTGAAGACATCGTCCGAGGTTTGGCTTTGATACCACTATAACAGCCCAAACTCGGCCCACCACTAGTAGATATAGTTTGTTGTTACCTGTTATATATCGCCATTAGTCTCATGCTTTTAAAATGTGTCTATTAGGCAGAGGTTTCCACACCTTTATAAGAAATGCTTCATTCTCCTCTCTGACCGATGTGAGCCTAGTGTTTTCACTAGCACACCGTTTGGTGTTTAACTCTGATACCAATTGTAACCGTCCAAGTTCATCGCTAGCAGCAATGGTCTATTTTAGCCTATTACGTATTGCCTTCAGTCTCACGATTTTAAAATACATCTGTAGAAAAAGGTTTCTACCAACGTGGAATTTTACAGTAACGATAACGTCTTTACAGTCATGAACGTAGCTCATAACACGTCTTCGAGGCAACATATGTCATGAACATAGTTAGTAACATATGTCATGAACATAGCTAGTAACATATGTCTTCGAGGCAAGCTCTTAGCACCGATAAGTAGTCTTCGACTTTGACCTATTTTGAAACACGAATCCAAAGAGTCTAATATCTGTACGAGTTGAGTTAACGACCGTTTGTTATTTTATTTCTAGGAACATTGGATTCAAAGGAAATAATGTTGAGATGCTTTGAACCTTATATTATCTGACACTCTCCACATGTTCTTCTGCCTTGGCTGCTCCCAACAATACCATTATTCACAACACACATCCCTTCCTCCTTTCAAACACATTACCAAACCTACTATTTCGATAACGATTTTGTTTTTAGTTTTTGAAAGAGTAAACCTATCTCGATTTTAACCCGTGTACTATTTCAAAAATGTGGTTTTCTTTTCTAATATTGGGTGAGATCGCTCGAGAATTCGAACCTTTGACTTGTTTATCGAAAATATATACATTAACCAGTTGAACTATGACTATGATGATAATATACGTATAAATAATGATATTTAACGAGCTTGATTTCGGTCCAAGTCTAGAAGCATGAATTGAGATGATTCTGAGAACAAAATGTTATGGAGGCTCATAATCAATCAAATCTTATATTTTATTAATAGGCAAAAAAAAAAAAATTTGGGTTTTTTTTTTATATATATTTTTTATTTTGTTTGCTTCTGCTGTTTCTAGAAATAAAAATTAAGAAAATAAATCAGAAAAATATATAAATATATAGACTCAATTAAAATTAAATTAAAAATTAAGGATTTAGTATCATAATTCAATGTTATAATAAAAAAAAAATTTATGGAACATTCTCGTGAATCTTTCAATATTTTTCATTCAAAATCCTAACTTTTTAATATTCATTAGGAGATACAATAACTCCGAAATCTAAATATTTGTTTCGTTTCTTTAAAGTTTGAGATTCAAATATTTAGACATTCACTTTTAAGGTTTTTTTTTTCTTTTTTTTTTAAAGTTTTGTATTATCACAGCCTATAATAATATATTAAATATTTAGGTTTGGAAGATTATAAAAGCCAAAAACTAATATTAAAATTTTATTGTTTTTTTTAAGCTACTAGCCAAATTTAAGAAATAAAGTATTTTTTGAAGAATAGAGTTCTCGAATCATCGTATGAACACATCAAAATCGGTCAAGTTTATGATATTTTGAAACAAATTTAAGGAGTAAAATAAAACATTTGAAAAGTAATCAAAACAAGAGCTGTTTGATGCAACTCAAACAACTATACAATTTTCCCACATCGAATGATTTAGAACAACTTTCTTCTTCATCTTCTTCGTCATCCTCCTGAATCTGAATCTCCATTGTTAAGCTTCTCTTCATCTTTCTCAGCTACTTCAAATGTACAATCAAACTCAGCAGACCCTCCATTGAAGAACAAGAACAGAGTATCCATTCATCAAATCCTGCAAAGTTCATAACTTTTCTGATTCCCACAAGGCAAAACCTTAGAAACAGAAACACAACACGTTTCTGGTGAAGATTCAGCTTCCCTTTTCCTTGAATTATCCAACACCTTTTGGGACTGTTTACAGTGAGCGATTGCCCCTTCTATGGACCTCTCTATCTCTGAATTTGCACTGTTGCTTCTCTTAAACGAAAATGATGATGACAGAGATGAAGAACCTGAAGATGAGCTTGAACAAGAACAAGAACACGAAGAACACGAAGAACACAAAGAACACGAAGAACACGAAGAAGATGCTGTCTGAATGGCCCCTGAAAACGACCTTCTGTGATTGTTGTTCATGTTCAAAGAGCTACCAGAAAATTCCTCTGTTTTTTCCTTCTCTATGAAAGTAGTTTGAATCTTCCATTTGTTGTAATCGATTCTACCAAAAGGGGTTTTGTTAATGAACTTCCCTGAGCTTACCCTGTTCTTGAAACCGCACTCTGTTTCTTCATTGAACAAGGATTTAGTAGAACAAGGAGATTTCCCAAACAATGCCTTGAAATAAGCCTGTGAGGATTGTTTCAATTGCTTAACTTTGTTCGACCATGATTTTCTTGGTGGGTTTCCAACAAAATCCTTAATTTCTCCTCTAAATCTCAACAAATACTCATCTGGGTTCAGCTCGCAACTCGCTCTGGATGACTCAGTGGGTGAGAAATTGCAGGACTCGTGAGGTGGAGCTTTAATGGCGATGAAAGGAATCTGAAAATTTTCTGGGAAAGATTTGTTTTTTGTTGATGGGTTATGGGAGTTGGGGCTATGGAGGAGGTTTTGAACCATTTGTAAACGGGGAGGGAGGTGGAGTGGAAGTAATTTTCCTTTGTAGAAGAGATCGTCGGCTGGTGAAGTTGTCTGCTCTGTTTCACCGGAAAATGATGTCATTTGGATTTGGAACTCGAAATCTCTCGCCGGCGGTGGGGATCTAATGGAATAGCTGAATGAGTTGGAAGAAGGGGAAGAGGTGAGTTCCATGTCAATGTAGTCTTCTTCTGCAGGAGCGGTGGTGAATGGAGCTTCGGTGGTGGCCATGGCGATATGACGACGGAGAGAGGGTGGAGTGGATGTTTGCGGCGGCGGAGAGAGAGAGAGAGGGCAGACCAGAAGTGAGAGATTGTCGAGTTTTATTAGCAAATTCAAATTTTCTTTCTGCGGGTTCAAACTTCAGAGCTAATATAATTTTTTTTTTTCATTCCCAAAGTGAAAATAAAATAATATTTTGAGTTTATTTATTATTTTTCTACAAAGACAATCATGCATTAAATTATTATATCATTCTTAACGTGACATTTTGTTGTCAGGTCAACCTAACTTACTTTTATAATTACTACGAAGATGAAAAATATTTAACGTTTGTAATTGGTATTAGTAATGTCTTATGACTTTTGATAATTAAGCTTTATTAAATTTTAGTTCTTAATATAACATGAATGATGAATAGGTATTATTTTTTAGATAGTTAAAAAGAAAAACACCCGACAAATCAATCTAACTCAACCTGTAGGTTAAATTATGAACTTTTATTCAGATTGCTCGAGTTACCAATTCAAAATTTGTAGTTAATCCAAAAAAATTCAACTAAGTTTGTGTATACTCTTAGTTATATATTTCTTTTTTTGATATTGGATGTTCAAAATTAAGAGGACATCTATTCTACAAGTTATTTCTTCAAAAACAAAGATCTTCTTCCATCAATATCCATATGTATCATCACCTATATATATATATATTTTTTTTCTCTTATAAAATTATTGATAAATTTATAGAAAATAATTTGCTTTTAAATTTTAAGAAAGAAAAAAACCACAGATTTCTTATCTCAATTTAATCCCAAAATTTTTAAATTTTTGAAAAATATCATATGATTTAATTTACCACAATAATTTTGAAAAAGAAGAAAAATAAAATATGACAATTGACGTGAAAATTAAATGATTATCAATTTTTTTCTCTAAAATTTGAAGTAAAATTATTTAAATCCATTATGTCTAAATAGTGTAATTATTTCGCCTAAAAAGAATATTATTATTATTATTATTATTACATGGAATAATCATTTTAGGAAGGTCTGGAAGATTTGCCTTTTTTTCCTTTTTGAAGAAAAGGTGTCAGAAATATAAAAAGTTGAAATTACGATTTTATATTATTTTATATCTGTAATTTTTTTTAATGCATATACACATATATTCATGCAATGAATACTTCCAAGGACTAAGATGTGGGTGAAAGAGACAAGCAACTTTTTGTTTTTATTTATTATTGCCAGAAATTCAGCCACGTGTATAAATCTCATGCTCTAAACTTTGAGGCCCAATCGGGAATTAATTTTTTTAAAAAAAAACTATTGCTAGCTTGAATAGATTCAACATTTAAGTGCATACTTACCCATATATGAAATTAAATCTCAAGCTTTTCAAGAGGGTTTAGATAAATATTTTGAATTTAAAGTATATGATAAAAGTTTAATTTGACTGACACTTCGAAAGGTCAAGAAAATTGGTGACCTGATAATACTGGAGTTGACGACCAAAACCCTAAAGAACGACGAGTATAGTCATAATGGTCTTAAGGTAACGATATTTTTTTGTTGGGTAAGTTCGGGCAGGAAACACAATGTTTTTTTTTATGATATTTTCAAATAGTTGGGAATGTGATATTTAACTTGGAAATGTCTGTTCCTCCAACAACAAAATTTATGGACATATAGTTATTTATTGCCTGCTTCCCATATATGAACATCAGAGAAATATATATATAAATATATATATAAAATTTGCATAGGGCTTATCAATCCAGGGCATATGGGGCTCCTTGTTTTGACCTGGTCAACATGTCGGAAGATCAGATCTTCCTTTGGGGTTTAATTAATTAATTACTCACCTTCTCTGTCATCCCTTTGGATTAAAAATAGGGCTTATAAGCTTAATTTTCAAAAATAAAAAATAAAAAATTAAATAGTGATCAACACCTTATTTCCCGTACAACAAAAGATAATAATAATAGTTTAAAAAGAAGAACATAATTGAAAGAAGTGCTGTCACGTGGTAAGCAGATAATAGGCAGTGGGTCTCTTTAAGCACATTGGCCAACAGCTGGTTGTCAAGCTTAGGATGTGACCAGCCTTCGCCTCCGCCCCCACTGCCTTACTACCACTCCATATATATATATGTGTGTGTGGTGTGTGTGCAGTTCAACAGTAAATGGGCCATGCCACCCACCATAAATCATTGTTCCATTTCAGCATAAAGCCACACTACACAATGTACAACAGTACACACAGGATGTTCTCGATGGGGCTACTACCCACCACCCCAAACAAGCATAAAACAACTATATATTTAATCATTGTATTATTGCTTTTCATGAATCTTCCATGTAAATAATACCATTTTTCTATCATGGGTAGGTGTTACTATAAGGAATTGAATTATAAAGATATGATTAAACACAACAACATACCGGATGGATGGATGGATGGATGGAAGTTTCATCTTCTTTGGTCGTTGGAAGCTGCTGCATCATAGTCCCTTCCAAGTTCATCAAATTCCCAGTCATTTATCTCCTCGTTCGAGTCAACTGTATCGACCTCAGTCGAATCTGGTTTCGCCATTTCTGCTTTCGTGCTAAAGTTCTTTGTTCCCTTTGCCAAGGAGTCATTAATATCTTCAAATTTTAGTCTTCTAACTTCGGCTGTCTGTTCAGATGAACTTGAATCTATATGTGACTTTTCATTGACCGCTAACTCTGACCTTTGCCTTGTGGTTTCAATCAACAGTTTTGGTCTCTTGATGGATTCAAATTCTTGTTTTATCTTTTCAAGCGCATCAAATAACTCTTGTACCTTCTCGTCAAAATTCCTGGATCAAAAGTTCAGCGTGTGGCCAAAAGTGCCTAAATTATTAGTCAAGTAGTCAAGGGGCAGATAAAAGTAAAAAACTCCTTGTCTAGTCGAACACTATTTTAGTACCTGACAACTCCTTTTGTTTCATAGAATTGCATTCGTACTGTATCCACAGTGCTTAAGGTGGAAACAAACTGGCCAGTAAAGAAAAGCCAGGAAATAGACACACCAGAGAGATTAAATGAGATAATGAAATACAAAGACATAAAGCTAAACACAGCCACAAATTAGAGATTGTGAGTGGAAAATGCAACATAGTTTTGAAATACGGGATCAAATGAACACCCTAAGAGTGAACAGAAAGTTCTAAGCATTCATAATACTACCTTGGATTCGATATCCAAATATTCCTCTTCGAGTTTTCTCCGTTGTTGATCGACATGTAAGCTTCCATCATCTGTATTGGGCGAGACATCTGACCTGAGGAAAGTTGGTCTCAGCAGCCTGGTTAATTATATCAAAGTTATTCTCAATAAGAATAGTTTTTTTTTTTTAACAGAAGAACTATACTCTTTCATCGAGCTCAAGTTTTCCTCAAGTTTCCTGATTGAAGAAAGTGAGGGCTCCAGTTTTTCCTAATGAGAATAGTAGGCCAATGTGCACGACAATCAGAAAACAGTAAATCATCTCTTGAAGATAAAATCAGTGAACTAGATAGCCTTATAACTGGTACCTTGTAAGAAGAGAGAAGGCTGATGACCAACTTCACAAAATAATCTCCATATTTTTCCAGCTCACCACTTGAAAAAGTGAAGAAACAAAGGATCAAGCAGTTTACTGATACTAGAATAGAAAGAACTTAAAGGGAAAGACATGGTAGCTGATTCCATCTCTTTGGTTCCAAAACAAGCAACGTAACTCAAATAATATTTTAACCAAAAAGGTTAACATACTCAACAAGCTCCTCCGTTTTTTGTCTTTGGGATATCCGTAGCTCCCATGTATTCTCTAAAAAGTTTTTACATGCATTTACAGCAGTGGCTTCTACTTTATATGAAGCAACAGATTTGAACAGCTCATCTTCCTATAACCAAAGAAAATCATTAGAGAAACTAATGAAAGGGAGAAAAAAAAAAGGCATTCAATTTGACACTTTATTGAAAGAAGAAATTAGTTCGAACAAGAGCACAACCAACAGCTTGATTACCTTTGTCTTCAAGTGCACAAGCATTTGGCTACTCGCTTCATCAAAATGCTCTCTTTCTTCTCTTGCATTATGAAGGCGCATACGAGCAGAAGACAGCAATGTGTTGACCTGAAACATATACATGCTCACAAAAGCTGATACGTAAAAGCAAAGTTCAAGTATTATGGTGAAGATCGCACCCCAAAGAAGCAGAAAAAGCTGCACAGTGAATATTGGATAAACTGACAATGAAAATCCAATTCTACATTTTATTTTATTCATTTTTTTTAAGAGGAAATAATATCTCTATTCCAGTGATGGAATGAAGTTAACAAAGGAGGAGATTGGACACCTATAGCCCAGACGAGAAACAAATATTTGTACGCAACTCAGTCCATCAATAAGAGAATATAAGAATCTAAAGGTTACTGGAACCAAAATTCACTCATCTGACTGCAGGGGAATGGATAATCAAGTTCTGAATGCTTCTCGGAATAACAGGTGAAATTGAAGGCTTCAGAATCTTCCACCATAATAGCTGAGCCAAAAAACATAGGAGGAAGAGATGGTCCAAATCTTCACTAATTTTAACTGAATGCTTTTTGCTTCTCTAAGTGACTAAGTTTCCCCATACATAAGGGCTATATCCAGATATAAACCTTCTATAAGTTAATTCCCAAGCCCAAATGGCATTAGTATAGAGTGCTACCATTTTGTTTCATGACTTCTTAAAAAATTACTCTTGACCTGAAGTACCATTCAGGTATCCTAATATTCTGTTAGTAACCCTAAGATTATGTTCATTTGGACTATTAACGTGCTGCTAACAAAGCTTACGGAATATGCAATGTCTGGTTTGATATGTGACAAGTAAATGAACTTTCCTGATACATGCACTCGTGAATTGGACAAATCTCTTCACTTTGGTGTTGGCCTATGGATCCGTAGGTGTTTCAGCAAGTTTACACCCAAGATTTCTGGTCTCCTTTAACAAGTCTAGAATGTATCTGAGAAATGACAATAGCATCCATAGATCATGCCACCTTCATTCCTAAAGAGTACCTCAAATTTCTCAAGTTCTTGATCTCAAACTC